ATAATCGACAGTCAATGGTGAAATAAATAGGAAATGAAATTTTAAAGGGGATCACAAATTAATTTATGGGTGTTAGGATAAGGATGAACTTGTCATAAAACCTCTGATACTAGGCAGATGCTTTTTGGAATCCTTGGCAAAACAAACCCTTTTACAAAGGAACAGATTCAAATGAGTTTTCCAGGAACCCTGGTTTAGAACTGAAAGTTTGAGAAGGAATTGCAATTTATCTTTCCTATTTTTATGGCCACTTTTATATTTACCCAATGTAGGGAAATTTATTTGTTAATTAATTTTGCTCGAGGGAGATTTTGTCTGACCTAGTAGATGCAAGAATATAAGGTGACCAATCGTCCTCCTTTTGTAAGTTCTGTCCTCCCTCGAAAAGTGTTCTTTACATGTCCTCCTTTTTGATATTTGAAGACTAATCTGTAAATCTCTGTATTCAATCAATGCCGAACCGATCTGTTGCATGTGATGTGATATGATGTGTTTGTATTTAACATGACAATTCATCAAGGAGACCTTGAGAGAGAGATAGAGTGCACACACGCAAATGGCTTTGTTTACTTCTTATCAAAACATGATATGGCATCTATGCATGCAGTAGAGATTATTATAGTGTATTATTGTTGCAATGAATAAAATGTTTTTTATTTACAATGTTTTTTCCTTCAATTTATTAGTGTCCTCCTTTTCATTGTAAAAAGTTGGTCACCTTAAAGAATATCCACGTTAAGAGAATAAGGAACCACTCACTCCAGTTTCGTAATATTGGTAGATTTGTTGCTTGGAAAGAGAGATTTTCCCACTGAAAGATTTGTCTTTCAACAATGAGAGCAACAAACCACAAACCAAGGTACTCACCTCCATCCAGGTCAGAATCAGCCATTTCATATGGGGTTTATTATGTTCATTCCTGTTTGAAAGGAAAATCTTTAAATTTAAAACCCCACACTGACTTATGAGAGAAAAAGGGGAACAATTATGTTATTTTGTAAAGTTCTTGATATCAACTCCACTCCTGATACCAATTTGTGAGAATTTGTGGTGAGAAATCTACTCTTCTCACCTTTGCACAGTCAGGACGGTTAAGCCTGTTTACATTATCACTGGATAGCTATTGGAATTTTTTTTAACCAGAGTCAGATTCCCGGCTCTGGTTACTTTCTTCGGTTGAGTGTGGAGGATCACAGGATCATTGATAAAGCATCAAGTTATTCGATAAAACTTACTTTGAGACCAGGTAAACTAAACAACAAGTTTACTATTCAAATAACTGATTACAAAGAACAAACACACAAACATATTGTTAGGTATATAACTAGACATATTATCAGGATTTTGAGGATAACCTCGAGCAACAATTTCTAACATTTAACTACTTATCACTAGTAGACCGAGAGAGAGAGTTTACAATCAGTTAAACATAATACCTCAGGTAGACAGAGTGAAGTCTTCTCTAATGTCTTGGCTAGCTGGCGGGATGATTCAAGAGGTGTGTCAATGACAGAACTCTTCCAACATTTGCCCTGAGACTTGGGTGTGAACCTGTTATATCCCTAATATTTTCTCATCAAGTGTGAAATTTTGTCAGGTGATTCTCTGTCATAGCTGTGCCCCAGTGGGCCGCAATAAGATTTGGACTTTGATGACCGGGGCAAAGGTTTATTTCCTTTTTGTTATTTGATTCTCTTCAAACATGTAAAGATTTTTAATGATATTGTTTATCAAACTGATATTGTTTATCAAAAAATCTTTCTTGGGTCAGAGAGGGGGAGCTCATTTTCTTGAAGACTACATCCAAAGAGTAGTCATCAAGAAAGGGTAGTCATCATTTTCTCTGAGTCAATTGTTGAAGTAGGATATAATAATTAATATGAAAAATAGATTATGGTTGGCGTTGTATGTTTACTGATCTCATGGGATATGGATGCAAAATGAAAGAGTTGTTGCGACGAAAAGTTTATTTTGAGGTCATCCAGAGTTGTAACCTCAGAAAGGGAAAGGGGGATGTTTCCTGAGTCTCACACAATTAGTCTATAGCAGTGTTTTTCAACCTTCTTGAATACGCAACCCCTTTACAAGTTAAAAAATTCTGGCGACCCCGCCAGGGCCATATTAAAACTATATCAGTGATTTTAAAAACTACTTATATAATTTTCTTTCTTTAAATATCGATCGAAAAACCAATTGTACTGTAAAATAAACAGGCACAGCCTTCTCACTGAAATTCTAGTTTTTTTTATTGTAGTGTAGGACCTACAAACACTTGTCTTTTTCTTTCACCTGCGATGCCCCAGGGGGGTCACAACCCACAGGTTGAAAAACACTGGTCTATAGGAAAAAGTGTGTGACGTCATTGTGTTATTTTTAGAACTCAAAGTGAATAAAATAGTGACTGAATTTTAAGGATTTTATCATAATTTTTTATTAATTTGATGAGAGCCATACTTTCCTTTAAAGGTTTTATTAATTAAAAGATCTTTGTTTGGAACTTGTTTTATTTGGCAAGACTAGTATTTGGTATATTGTTATTATTTATATGTTGATAACTTTGTTATACAGTAAAAGCTTAATATAGTGGACCACATAAGACTGAAGAAATTGGTCTGTTATAATGAAAGTCTGTTTTATATACTGAATCAGAAAATTTGAATCTCATTATTATGAACTTTTATATCAAAAAGTCCATTACTATACAGTAGAAACATGTCAGAACAAATCATGATTTGGAGAAAATGAAAACAGACTTGAAGAAAATATCTGTAGTTTGAAGTTTTTTCCAGGTCTAGATGTCAGATCAATGTAGTTTTATCTCATTTCAATGGATCTGATACTCTGAATATAAGAGGATTCTACTGCATATAGGAATATTGACTTGTCCATTACTATAAGTTATATCAGTATTGTGGATAAAAGTAAATTATGTAGTAGACAAAATTTTAGTTGTAAAGTATATAAGCCAGATTTTTATTAAACTTGTAAAACAATATTTTTATTAATTTTTTAAAATATTTTTAAGAATTGTTATAAGATGTGCTTGTTGTATTTTTTCTCTTGCTTTCCAAATGTCTCAAATTGTCTGCTTACTCAGAGACATTTCTTTATAAATTTCAGCTTGAGTCTGATGAATTATATCTTTTTTTGTTATATCTAAAGCTTTTCATTTTTTTTATAAACCATGACTTTGCTTTACACAACAAATCCAAACAAGACTCATTACTCATAGAGAAAACAAAACTAAAATTTAACAAAAGTAGTCAATCAGGAAACAAAACAAAAACTAAATGTAATGTGATGATCTACTCCAAAAAATGATTTAAAAGTAAATTTTATATTATTTTTGTATTTATTTTTTGCAAATAAAGTAAAAAACAGCGACTGTGATAAAATAAGAAACAATGATTGTGACAAAATAAAACTTCAACGAAAAAGTCTGTAATAACAGAAAGACAGTGGTCTGTGGGTCCTGAAAAATAATCCACAGTAGTGGGAATCCATTAGATTGAGTTAGTTCTCTTATAATTCTTCTATACTTTTTGGCTGGACTTTCATCAGCCATCCATAACAACATGAGGTCTGTAATATTGAGCTTTTGTTGTATTTAGATGAGTTTAATGATTAAGATATTTTGTAGAGAGTTTATTTTTTTAAACAATATTAAATGTCTACACAATTTAAACAAAACTGTTAAATACAATAAAATGATTTTAGTAATTTTATTAAAAACTTTATAAATTTTGATGTAATAAAATGTTAATGAATTATTATTTTTTTTTTACTTTTCATAGACATATTTATCGTTCTCTACTTTTTGTTATAAATATATAAACTTAAATAGTTATCTTGTTTTAGTAATGAATTTCAACAAACATTTTATCACTATACTAATATATACAAGTCGACCCCCCCCATAACACTGTTGATAATTCCGTTTTATAAGAATTCCATGTTGTACGAGTCACTTAGATTTTACAAATATGTGAGCCATTCACAGCCTTGCACACGTATTTGTAAAATCTAAGTGACTTGTACAACATGGAATTCATATAAAATGGAATTATCAACAGTGCTATAGGGGGGTTGACTATATACTCAATCAGAAGAAGAAATTCTATTTTCATTTTAATTTAATAGTAAGAAATTGTACCTTTATTTAAAATTCAATTTAATGGTTTTAAAAGTAAAACATAAACAATAACAAATACTAGAGCATGAGGCTTATATTTTTTACGTAATGTATTGAAGTTGACCTTGATATTTGCAGAAATCCAAAGTAATCAATTTTATTTTTCTCTTTTATACTTCTCACAAAAAATACAAATGAAAATTTATCACAAACAGTAAAATGCTGTTTGTGTATCTATTCTTTGATCTTTGTAAAAAATATTACATTAAATGCGAATTACAAATAGCTAAAAATTAAACATTTATTTTTTACACATTAATGCAGATATTGATAAAATTTTAAAAACTAATCAAGATAAAATAGAAAAACAAAAATGAGTATCAAAATTATATGAAAAAATAGCATATTTGTCTTGGTGTTTGAATTTGTAATTTTATGCTTTCTGATAATGCTTTGTACAAATACAGTGAAAATGCAGTATTTCAAATTTTTTTTATTTTAATAATTTTATACACATTATTCAACTTAGTTACAAATTTTTTCTTTTAACTATTAATAAGTAAGATAATGATATCTGTCATATTTTGTGATAAGTAAATATGTATTCAATTAGGACTTCACTTTAAACAAAGCTGTTACATTTGCAATAAGTTAAACTTTCTAATTTGAAATTTTTATATTTTGCTTTGTTGAAATTTTTTTTCTAATAAATTAAGTTTTTTTCTTTTTCATATTTTTATAATTTTAATTTTGTAAATAGATACAGTTTATAGCTAGTATTAAATTAATATTCAGTATTATAACGATGAATTTATTACTTCTAGAGAATTATTTTAATTGATTACTTTTTTTGCATAATTTTTAATTCATTTATTTTCTTGTAGCAAATACAAATATACCATTGTCAAGTCCAAGTCCTTCTCAGAATGGAGATAATTCTAAATCACTTGTTACTAAACCATCACGTTCAAAATTTGATTCTATTAAACAGTGGAGCATTTCTACCTATAAGTGCACAAAACAAGTCATATCTGAAAAACTTGGAAAAGTATGTAGAATTGTTATTAGCTGCATGATTTTAGATGTTAGTATTAATATAATTTTATTCTCTTTAGAGTACTAGAACAATTGATACAGAAATGGAAGCCCAAATTGAACAGTTAAGAGAAACGCAAAATAAATATACTAATATTCTACAGTTGGCTCAAGCTCTAGTAACACATTTCTCAAGTGTTGTAGAAACACAGCAATATCTTGGTGAGGCATTTTCTGAACTTGCACAGAAATCACCAGAATTACAGGAAGAATTTTTATATAATGCAGAAACTCAAAGGAACTTGAGTAAAAATGGTGAAACATTATTAGGTGCACTTCAGTTTTTTGTTTCAACATTAAATACATTATGTAACAAAACTATTGATGATACATTACTTACAATTAAACAGTATGAAATTGCAAGGTATATCTTTATTTCAATGAATAATACATATTTTAATAAATGTTTTTTTTTATAATGAAGAAATTACTATTTTTAATATAGATTAGAGTATGATGCTTATCGGACAGATATGGAAGAAGCTGCCCAAAGTACAGCTGGAAATGCAGTATCTCCCAAATTAGATGAAGCAAAAAAGAAATTTAATATTCATAAAGAAAAGTATGAAAAATTAAGATCTGATGTTACAGTAAAAATGAAATTCTTGGATGAAAATAAGGTAATCATCAAAAATTTATAAAATAAAACAAAAAAATTATAGTTATCTTACTATATATTTTGACACAGAAGTTTAGAATTTCAATTAACAAAACTTCATCTTACATATTGAATCAGTAATTTTTTTCAAAAAGACAGTAAAGCTATTAAAGCTTACCATTATGCATTTTCTTTTAATCTATTTTAGAAGAGAGATATTTGACAGTCATTACCAAAACAGAATTTTTTTGGGGTGACCTGTGTAAAAAGTTTTGTAAACAAAAAAATCATAAGACTACTTACCAAATGTGCACCAATCAAGACTCTACTGTTTAAGCTTGTTTCTGTCATACAGTGTTTCATGGAGCAGCTTATTGGATGATGAACATGTACAAAATGTGTCATGTAACTTTGTTTTGAGCTTATTCCATCACATAATTACCTAGAAATGTCACTTGCCTCAGCCATGTGACATCTTTGACGTATTTCTTGAAAAACTTCTTATTGTGAAAGATTTCTTTCTTTTGGACTGAACTTTGTATGCACTGTGTGTGATAAAAGCATGACATCATATGTTCTAACATGATTCACCTCTTTTTGGACTCTGAAGAGTTTGTGGACCACAGTTTGATAAATATTGCATTAGTTATGTTTCCAGTACAGTGGAACTTTGCTTAACAAGCATAATTCATTCCAGAACATTATTCGTAAAGCGAAACAATTTTTTCCCATATAAATTAATGTAAAATACGATAATGTGTTCCATGCTGAAAAAAATACTCAAATATTTTATGCATTACATTTATTTTAAAAAAATTATACAATATACATTGTTAAGTAGTCACACGATGGCATGAATTTCATGTGACTTGTTTGGTATGTGTTCACCATCCAATGTGCTGCTCTACACAACGGAAACAAGCTTAAGCAATGGCATCTCAAATGGTGCACACTTGGTAAATAGTCCTATGATATTTTTGTTTATAGCATTTTTTTATATGGGTTGCCCCAAAAAATTTGTATTTTTGAAATGGTTATCAAATATGTCTCTTTTAAAAGAAAAATAGAAATAAAACATGTAATGTTAAGCTTTTGTAGTTTTACCAAAAAGACTTTATTGAAAAATAAATTGGAATCAATTTTTATTTATCAAACATAAATATAATTTAATGAAAACAAATATTATAAATTTTCAAACGGAAAATACTCTTACATATCTTCCTATAGTCAAATTTAATAGCATGTTTATTAAATTTGATTTGATAGTTTTTATTTTTTATTTATTTTTATTAGTAAAATTTTATTTACTAGATAGAAAATAAAATATTTTTGTCAGTTTAATATTATTCTCTTCTTAAAACATTTCCATATATAATAAGAATTAAAAAAATAAATATTTATTTAATATAAAAATGGCTTACACTTGTTATAGAGGTATTTTATGTTAAAATAAATACAAAATTGAAGTAAAATTACATATATAAGTTAGTGATTAAAACATTTGTATTTTCAATACTCTTATGTTAACATGAAAATGCTTAAACTTGTTCCAGAATTAAGGTGACAAAAATTAACAAGTTGCACTAATTTCTACTGTATAAATTGTAATGACAAAAATAAATACATGTTGTTACTAAGAATGTCTGTTTTTACATAACTGCTATATGATTTCAGCAATCTATAGAGTACTGTTATTTTACTCTTGTTTATTTTTCAATCTTTTTAATTAATTACTTGGATTTAAAAATTTTTCTTTATTTCTTAAAAAAACATATTCAAAATATTTTTTGAACATTTAATTAACTTGCATACTTCTGCTATTATACATGTTTGAAATTTTCATTTATATTATTAGATAGTCTTTAACAAAATGTAATAGAAATTTACAAGCTTTTTGGCATGTTTACTATTGATTTGCCATTACCAGTTTTATTCTGTTATATAATAATAACAACAAATACCTACACTTCACTGTTACAGAGGAAAGGGTTGTTGATCAGAAAAAAACAATTATTCATAATGACCTTATTCTACAGACAATACTTGAACATATCAAATAAGTTGCACATTATCTACATCAACATGCAAAAACTAGATTACATGGTAGAGCAGATACTCCTTCACAGTGTCTCAGTAGTGGTCACCAAGAAAACATTCCCAGCATAACCTGCACCAATGAAAACATAAATATAATGATTACAACTGGTGACACCATAACAGATTTAATTAACACATTTGCTAATTTATTTGAAGAAACACTTACTAAAGATACAGGTTTAGACCTCACATAGAGACAATGAATATCCAAACTAAACACATCAAAATGAATGGGGAAAACTCTAGTACTACCTAAATACACATACCGTGTTTCCCCGAAAATAAGACATCCGCAGAAAATAAGACCTAGCACAGGTTTTGCTGAATTGCGAAATATAAGACCTCCCCCTGAAAGTAAGACCTAGGGAAGTTTTTTTTAGTCCTAACGGTCATGGACAGATGGTTGAAAGTGGCCATTGGCTTTTTGAAAGTACAGCCACTGATTGGTCAGCAGACAATTACGCCACACGGCATGATTTGCATAAGACTATGGCTTGGGAATCACAGATTTGCATAACGTTACGGCTGGTGATGGCTAATTGGTCG